TCATTACCCTAGCATTGCTATAATAAATAGATTTGCCTTTTTACATTTTATCATTTCATAGCAAAAAGTACATGACTCATTTAAAATTAAATAATGTATACAACCAGTGCAAATGAAGTTTAGCAACTCATTCCGACTCATGTTAATGCACAGGTTATCATCAATTAGCTATCACATCACTGTAGCTTATGTAAATCCTTTATTAACATCATGTCCCACAGTGACATACATTACTAAGGGGCAGAAGGACTTACAGAGTAATTTTACATCTTAATGAGATCTAAAATGTCACGATACAGCAAAAATGTAAGCAGCAGGTTATTTGACAGCACACAGACACCAATCTAGAAGCTAAGATTTATCCGGGTATCCCCATATAATAAAAATGTTGAGCACTTCTTGCTTATTAAAAGTGCACCTTTTTTGGTGAAAATTAATTTTTATAATGCCCATAAATTTGTGATAAATGCATCACAATGTATCACAAAATCTTCAGCTGTGAAAGACTATAAAAAATTTGAGCAAGCTGTTTGAACACCACCTTGCTCTCTCCAGCACGTACTTATCTAATGTGAAACATTCCCCGTAGAAAGAACAAAGCCATCACAACAGTAACACAGTCAAATGAATACATAATATCTATAAAAAACAACTCTTCTTTAAAGGACTGGTCAGTCAGATGGGCAAAACAAACACATCATTTGTTCTAATTCACCACTCTGATCCAAACTGCTGACTTCTTAGCTACGACTAAAAGTTGGCCCACTACAGAGTTAAGCCTCATTATGAAAAGCTGATTATACCATCCATCTTTAACACTTCTGGGAATCTCATACCCATACACTACAGAGCTCTACTGCATTTTTACTTATTCAGTGACATTGTGCCACTTTTATTCACACTGAGTAGAATCGCGTTCATTACATTTACTGGCATCGAGGTTTGCTGTGAATGAAACACCAGTTAACCCCAAGTAAAACTGACAGAATTAGGACTGAAACACTGCCTTAATTTTTCCATCTGCTGCAATAAGTAAAATCTGTAAGAGAATTGCCTAGAGACTGATAGAATTAATTGAAAACAAAAATTCACAATGATCCTTGAATGTGAAATACACTGTAACAATTATAAAAGCTGAAGTTTTAATAAATACTAATCTGGATTTTTTGAAAAAGGTATATATCAAATCAGAGCTTCAACACTCCATTTGAAAGGCTGATGTGGAAAAAAGACCCCAAAATATTTAAAAGTATTTCCCCAGAAACACATTTCCCTAAGATTCACTAATATCAAAGATCCATACTTTTGGTTTTGAAAATTTATCATGAGATGTCAGAACCAGACAACAAAATAACTGAAAACAAAGATTAAAACCAGCAACTCTATATATAGTCACAGAAAAGACACCATTCCGAAGTGTTTGGGTTGAATGCTTTTGTTTGTTTGGTGGTGGTTTCTTTTTAGAAAGAAAGAAGAAATTTAGTATAAAAACTCCAAACACTTCTTATGCATAAAAAACGGCACCTTTAAGCCCTAAAGCATGCACAACAGGGTAAATTTAGAATAATGTAATATTCAAGGTGAGTATACAATATCAGAATTAAGTCTAGTTAAAAGTTATTTGCAATATACCTGATGCAATACAACATAAAACTTGAGGATCTGTGGCAGCAATTTTTTCTTATCGATTCATGAAACATGCCATCAAAAACCAGCACAGGCTGACCCACAGGACCAACAGTCCGAGATGGATCTCAAATTCCCATACGGCATCAGTGAAAAAGAAATAAGATCAGCTTTTGAACTGCAAAACAGATGTACTTCAACAGTGAAAAAACAAAGCATAAATATGTACTTAAAAAACAAAAAATGCTGCTAAAATTACTTTTCGTTTAAGGCTCAGATTGCTGACTAAAGCATCTTATTTTCTTGAGAAAGTCTTCTAGCTCTATTTTCATTGGCAAGGAGTTTTTAAAACATTTACGTCAGAGCAGAAAACTATGCTCACACAACAACTTTCAAACCAGATCTTGCGCTAAATTAATTTACATTATTTTATATATTCATTTATCCACATTATGAGAAAAGTTTATCGTATCATTTATTTACATTATCTAAAAACATCAGCAAGTGTGTAAGACTGCTAAATCTGCATTACATGTATTTGCACATTTAAACAAATAAAATAACTATATTTTATCAAATAGTAACTGTTTTATCAAACAGTAAGATAGACTAAGAATAGGATAAAATATCACTGTGACCTAAAGCAAATATGCCACTTGGACACAAGAATTAGCTTCCAATTCTGCAGGTTTCACCCCATAACACACAAAAAAAGCAAACTGATTAGTTGCAGGGATTTATAAAGCTGGGATTTTCTTCCCTTTCCCTTCTCTCTCCCACCTCAATGGCATTTCTGCTTCTCTAGATACATCCACTTTTACATCTTTCAATCAATACACCTGAATATCTCTTCTTAGCATGGCACCGTCATTCACTGGCTCACAAGTGAAGTGCTCACTGGCTGCCAGCATTGTTATGATGTGTTTGGCTTACAAGGGTATGAAAGAATAACAGTATCATTCAACAAAGGAGTTTGGCAAACTGATTTACAGAGCATCCCATCTCTTCTACACAGAAAGTTGGAGTACTATTGGAATATACTAGCATTAAGTTGCATTTTGATAATTTATATTTAGTTCTAGCATATCAATTCCTTCTTTAAATAAAATTATGACTGTCATCATTTACTGCTAGGATCCCTTTTTAGATCCCACTAAGGCTAATTCCAAACGAAACAGAATGGAATTATTTAATACAAAAAGTCTCCATTATTTATTCCTTTCATGAATCATTTAAAGACTTTATGTCAGCAACTGAAAACATTCATGTTGATCTCACAAAGAGCAGACAATATATAATGCATGCTGCCCACTGATTTATCCTTTCAGAAAGTCTCTTGCAGGCCACTTGCCAATACTGTCACTTGCTGTCTAAAACATAAATAGAAGTGCTTCTAGAATATACATATATAAATAAAAACTAATTGCCTGTGGTTCAAATCAGCAGGCTGTGAAAACCCACATCCCGTGTGATATCACCTGGTACCGGATAGATTCAGAGAAATGTATTTTTGAGTGGACTGCTCTGAAGCAGTACATCCACTGCTGAAGAGTCTTCCTAGACTCTTTCTTAGGCTGCATTATCTATGGAAGTATTTGGCTTTCATCATATTTAAAACAAAATACCATCCAACACATACACACACGAACATTGTCCATCCAAATAGCAATTCAATTTTTTAAAAATCCTATTTGGTTTTCAATCAGAATAATTTTGTACCAAAAAGCCTTACAACACTGCCTTTTCAGGAGGCCAAGGATTAACTACACATCACATAACTTCCATGAGACACTGGAATAGGTTGCCCAGACAAGTTGTGGCTGCCCCTTCATCAGAAGTTTTCAAGGTTACAGCTTTGAGCAACTAGTGCATGATGTCCCTGCCCACAGCAGGAAAGCTGGACTAGACAACCTCTAAAGGACCCTTTCAACCCAAACCATTCTAGGATTCTGAAGCCTATGAGTGGTTAGTCTAAGTCTATCAGTAGCAAGGTTTGCCTAGAGAGAGTAGTTAAGTGTAAGGTAAGAACTCCTCAGGTTTGATTCTAGGACAAATTCATATTTCAAGAAGGCAACTTCATATGTAAAAGCAATGTCAACAAGTTCCACATAATTATCCACGTGTGAAATATTCATGAACAAGCACTTACAGAATCTGCATCTTAGCATTTACAAAGAGAATCATTTTTGCCTGCATTTCTTCACATGTACTGGAAAAGATAGGATGAATTTTAAGTTGTTCTAAAGGTAATTTTTTTTGGCACTGTAATAACCCCACTGAAATAATGGCCAGTTATTTTCCAATGAATAGTGCAACTCTTTTGTAAGTCAATTATCAGGGAAAGCCTAAAAAAACTCCACCCAAAACAAAATTCAACTAAATGAAAAACTCTCCAGCAGCAACAGCTTGTACTGTGCTATTTAACTGGCTTTACTCCAGTAGTTTAAACTTAAGAGTCAGCTTTAAGTAGAAATGAAGTAAGTGAAAACTGGGAAGAAAATTCCACACCTACAGCTGTCACCTAAAATTAAACACATTTCTCTCCAAGTCCCAAGTGTGCTTTTGAAAAGGTGTCATGTGATCATATTTAGCTACTGCACTGTAATTAAGAACTTTTCATCCACAATGGATAAACTAAATTCTTTCACTGAAACATGCTAAAAAATTAACAAAAGTGAAAACCAGATGTAATTACCTACAAGTCTCCAATCAGTAACTATTTCATTTCAAGTGCAACTTATAACTCAAACATTTTCTTTTGCCCCTGTTACAATGTGCAACATAGACAAAGAGAAATAAGCTACACATATTTTGGAGGAGGAAAAACCCCACCCTAAAATAGACAGACTGGCGTTAGATAGAATAATTCTGTGTAGAGAGATGTGTGCTATTGGAATAGTACCAAGAAGATGACTTGTGCAAAACAGTAGGTGATCTTAAACATCTCCAAGGAGATTGATTAAATGGCTCCAACCCAGTCTAAAATGCTTATCATTTTACTGAGTTATGCAGCAAACATGACAGCAATATTCCATGTCTGTGGCAATTTTGGTTTTTTTCAAACAACTGAGTCAATTTTAAAAGTTCTTATAGCACGTAAATTTTAAGGAACCAAAAACACTTTAACAAAAAAGAGTAGTTACAAAGTAGTATAATGTCACATGCCATTCCCCATTAAAAGACATCCTGGGTTAATTAAATGTACTTATCTCAACAATCCCGAGGAGGCATTAAGATTAGATAATGGGACAGTATTCTGGAAAGTTTACTTATATTGTTACTTGTATTAACATAGTTACAGAAAGAGATTAAATATTTCTGGCATAAGTAAAATAAAGAGCATGCAAGAAATTAAACAATAAAAATGTACTTACGAAATCAAAGTCTCCATCTTGGGGGACCTTCCAGTTATCAGGGAAAACGTTTTTGGATATGTGGTAAGGTTCATGCATGTTCTGATTACAGTTTTCAGGGCTTTTATTCTTGGAATCTTGTTTATCAAAGTAGTCCATGAAAGAAGGTCTTTGAACTTGCGGTGAAGTAGCATTTCCTTAGTTGAAAGAAAGAGTAAAAACCATTTAAAGATTTAATGCATTATAAAATAGGCTTCACTTATTAATTTTCTTGGATTTTGTAGCAACTAATACAGTCATCTGTATGTGATGCAAGCCTCTGTTTGTCCCCTGAGGATCTTTGGCATAAAAGCTCATAGCCGAAGAATGATATTTTTGTAGCAAGATACAACGTGGAGAAACGTTCAAGACATTTCAGAGTTGCACACACAAATAATATTAGAAGTTACTTCATGCAATATCTATTTGTTGTTATAGAGACTGAATAACACAAGGTGCTAAGCATCCCTTTGGGTGCAGAACGCCCCTACCTTCAAGGCCTAGTCCACAGGCACTTTAAGGAAAGGAACAGAGTTTCACCGAAGGTGTGATTTAAAAATTATTTAGAAAAAGAACTTCAAAAAACAACCCCACAAATCATGTCTAGATGCTGCTTAATTAAATTCATTGCCAATGAAGGTTCTCGGCAAATTATGGGGTCATACTCTACAGATGGTTGCAAAGCACCCTGTCTCCATGGTGTGGAAACCCTGGGGGATTTTCATCACCATCCACGTAACTACAAAGGCTTTACAGAGCAGACTAAGATCAGCATGAACTCCTGTTCTATTATTCTTTTCATGAAATTAAAAGTAAAAAAAAAAAATTATCTTCCATCGTAAATGACTGAAATTTGTTTCCATTTGTGAGATTTCATAGCAAATGAATTACTAAATAGCCCAATAAATAACCATAATTGTCCCCTCACAGACCATATTCTGCATAGCATTGACACATGAAAAGTGTATCAATGCTTACAGCTTACATTGACTTGCTTACAGCATAACACATTCTACATAGAGAAATACGAAATATATTTTCACAAATAAAATATTAAACAGGATGAAAGATATAAATAACTATGGTAGGGGGAAAAATCTAACACCAAAAACCAGACAAAACTATACTTTTAAATTATAAGCATAATAAAATAATAGAATTTTTTATTTGATCTACTTGTTATAACAAGTGAAAAGGTGAACCACTAGAAATATCTTTTGAGTTTTTGTTTAACACGATCACTAGAACTTGCTAATCCCCTTATCTGGCTTTACACTTGTTTTTATTCATTCATTAAGTGAGGTTTTCCCCCCCCTTCCACCTCATTTCATCCTCTCTTCCCAGTCTCTTTGTCTAATGATTTTTTCATTCCAATTCTGCTGCATGACTTTCTTTTCATTAATGTTTATTTTTGTACTGCCATCGTTTCACAGAATCATCAAGGTTGCAACAGACCTTCAAGATCATCTAGTCCAACTGCTGACCAAGCACCATCATAATAAACATAAAATCATATCCCCAAGTGTCACATATAGACACCTCTTAAACACTCCCAGATATGGTGACTCCACCACCTCCCTGGGTGGCTTATTCCAATGCCTAATCACTCTTTCAGTAAAAAAAAAAAAAAAATCCTAATATCTAATCTGAATCTGGTCTGGTGCAATTTGAGGCCGTTTCCTCTCGTTCCTTCACTTGAGATATGGTAGAAGAGACCGACCTCCACCTGGCTAAAACTTCCTTTCCAGTAGTTGTAGAGAGTAATAAGGTCACCCCGAGCCTCCTTTTCTCCAGGCAAAACACTCCCAGCTCCCTCAGATGCTCCTCATAGAACTTGTACTCCAGAACCTTCCCCAGCTCTGTTGCCCTTCTCTGGACTCACTCCAGCACCTCAATATCCTTCCTGTAGTGATGGTCTCAGAACTGGACAGAGGACTTGAGGTGCAGCCTCACCAGTGTCAGAAACAGGGGGACAATCACTGTCCTGGTCCTCCTGGTGACACTATTCTTAACAGAGGCAAAGATTTCATCTTTACTGCTTCTTTTCTTTTGTTTTTTCCCATAGTTTTCTGTTCTAGTAGGATTTCTTCTGGCTTGTTTTAATGAGTTCTTCCACTGCCTCACTCTAGGCCTTACTGCATTTGATTCCAGCTGCTTTTCTTCAACCACACCACAGTTCCTTCATTCAATCTGCCATGTTTCCATACACACCTTCTCCTCTGCACATTTTTAGCTAATTTTTCTCTCAGTTTTTGCCATGTTCTTTTTAAAAATATTGTTTCTAATCCCAGTTCATAGTTATCACTACTCACTCTCTTTTAATTAGTAACAACCATGCCCGTAACAATTCAGTGAACTAAACTTCAAGTTGAATTTAACAGACCAGATAGAAGATGCTGCTTCTTCAGAATCTCCCAAGTTTACCCTCATGGAATGCAAGATCACCTGAAGGAGGTTTCTTGACCTCTTGAGTCTGGGACTGAGGAAGGGATGAGAAGTAAGCAGCAGGAATGCCAAGTAACTATAGAAATAGGTTCTAAAGGGTAAAAATCATAGAGTCATAGAATGGTTTGGGTTGAAGGGTGCCTTTAGAAACCATCTAATTCCAACCTCCCTGTCATGGGCAGGGACACCTTCTGCTAGAACAGGTGCTTAAAGTCCAATCCAAACCAGCCCTAAACACTTCCAGGGCTGGGGCATCCACAGCTTCTCTGGGCAATCTGTTCCAGCATCGCACCACCCCCATAACAAAAAATTTCTTCCCAATATCTAATCTAAATCTGCCCTCTTTCAGTTTAAAGCCATCACTCTCACTAGAGACCATTGTCAAATGCTCCTCTCCAGCTCTCTTGTAGGCTCCTTTTAGGTACTGCAAGGTGCTGTAAGATCTCTCCAGAGCATTCTCTTCTCCAGGCTGAACCACCCCAAGTCTCTCAGCCAGTTTTCATATCAGAGGTGCTCCATCACTCCAATCATTTTCATGGTCCTCCCCTGGACTCGCTCCAATAAGAACATACCTGTCTTTTTTGGGGGGCCCCAGGGTTGAGGTCTCCTGAGAGCTCAGTAGAGGGTAAGAAAAGTGGAAAAATCTAAACGTTAGAAAAGCACACATTTAGAAAACAGATCCAAGAGAAAGTAGTAGTATGAAGGAGGTGGAATTAAAAACAGAAATACAATGCATTTTCTTACTACAAACTTTTCATTACTGCCCAAACCCCCTGAAACTATTTTTACCAAAAAGATAGCCTTTCACAATCAATTTTTTTCTCCTGCTGAGATGGTTGTACTTACATTCCATCCCTGAGACATACTTATAAACAAAAAGATTACCAGTGTCTCAGTTCAAAACTCCAAGTACCAAAATATTGGCACGTTACAGGTAAGACAGTCTCCCTCCTCTCCTGTAACAAAAAACACTAAAGATTTTCCAAGCACTGCTCTTATGATTTAAAACTATTTTTGAATATCTCCCTTAGACAAGTAATAGAAGACTGCCTGCATCCATAAAACGAACTAACCCCTACAAATTCCTTCCTATCAAATGCATATTACGGAAAGTGAATCAACAGGACCAAAATCACTCCAAAACAAGAAAAGCGGATTTATTTTACACTTTGAGGACTTGTTTTATTTGTTTTGAATAGAAATTTTGAATTTAGAACTTGCTTCTGATTTCAATTTAGCATACAGTTAGTTAACCCATTTAAAAGAACAAGAGCTGCTTACCTTCACTGCAAATATAAAAACTCTCACACAAAACCAGAAATACGACTGCAGAACAACAGGACCAGAGGTATTTCAAGGTTTGTGTGGGTTTTTTTCTCCAATGTAAAAAAAAATATAAAGTATTTAGTTAAAGATTTATTTGCAAGGTTTTATTTTACTAATCAAATTAAAAAAGAGACACTTTTTAGATCTCTAGTTAACCTAACATTAACAAGTTTACTTAGCATTTCATGGGAAACGGGATAGGTTGACACTACTTTAAAGTGTAAAGGCTCCTATCTATTTTATATTTACTTTATAGAAACTCTCTCTTTATGGCAGAGCAAACTGAAGTAGATTGTACTTCTCTTTGCAAAATGTAAGATCATTAGAAGATCATTTTCGTCTGAAAGTACTTTTTCTAACTTCCATGAACAACAGAGTAATGTTGTTTTCTCAACTGTCTTTCAAGAACCATTAAAATTAGAAGTACAATACATAAAGATTCCTTTAAGAACACTTAATTCACTCATCTATCCATAAGTAACTTTTTATACAAGCTATGTATTTGCCACAAAAAATCTGCAGCACACTCAGTATCACTCCACACATGCACTAAAAGTCTATTGTGCAAATAGCCTGTTCCATTCTAAGAGGATTTGGATTTTTCAGCTCATCTAATTATTCTTTACTTTCAACAAGGAATCACAGAATTACAGAATACGCTGAGCTGGAAGAGACCCACAAGGATCATCAAGTCCAACTCCTGGTCCTGCACAGGACCATCCCCAAGAGTCACACCGTATGCCTAAGAGTGTTGTCCAGACACTTCTGGTACTCTGTCAGCGTTGGTGCAGTGAGCACTTCCCTGGGGAGCCTGTTCCAGTGCCCTACCACCCTCTGGGGGAAAAACCTTTTCCTAATATTGAACCTAAACCTCCCCTGACACAACCTCAGGTCATTCCCTCCAGTTCTGTCACTGGGCACCACAGAGAAGAGATCAGTGCCTGCCCCTCCTCCTCCCCTCATGACAAAGTTGTAGATGATCATGTTTAAAAATGTTTGTCCCAGTTTCAGTGTTTCAGAATATCTGCCTCTTACCATCCCTACACTCACCTACTGCAGGACTTCAAGATGGCTTTGGGGAGAAAACCATAAGAAAACAGTGGTCAGAAATTGCTGGAACACAGAGAACACCATGGATGCTGCTCAGCAATACCCCTGATAGGAACACAGTCAACAGTGATGTCCCCAAATAGTTATGTAAGCAAGTTTCTTCCAAAAAGTACGCTCAATAAAATGAATGAGGCAACAACATAACACAACACCAACTCTATTACACTGTTTCAAAAACATATCACAATTAAAATAAATAATTCTGAACACACATTTCAAAATAAGTCATTCTAATGCATGTTTTGATAAAATTCAATTGATGTCCCCTATAACGAAA